TGAAGTCACAACTATAGGTAAAGTCGTCAATGACGTTTTCACCGAATGCTGTCTCGCTAGAACTGTCTATGTAACAATTAGATTATGGGCTCGAGAGAGCGAATAATCTAATTGTTTTAGTAGAATTCTAACTTAAATTTTCTTCAGGTAACCACTTTCAATTGTTTTATTACGTTGTATTTAACTTAACGCTTCAGAAAAATCGCGCGGACTGAATTGTCCTTTGGAATTTCCTGCTGTGTACGTGCGCCCATCATTTTCTAGTTTTTCAGAGCTACGTCACGAAACTGTGATTGTCCTTTTTCTAGTCTTTGCTTAGTCATCTCAGGAATTAAATTATCCATTTGTATCTAAATGTTCGTCCATAACTTCGCAGAAACGAGAAAACCTCCAACCACTGCATACTAATAGCTGATAGTATACAAGTACCTCAGCCAATCAGATTACATTATTTGCGTTAGTATACCAGTAGAATTCTACTAATTAACATTATGAGCTCAAGACTTCTATGTAGTACATGTATGAGGTGATAGTCAAATGAGGCCAAAGGCTGAATCAACTATTACTTATGCCATTCTTTGTAAATCCAGAAAATCTCCATACGAAACTTTAAAGAAACGAGAAAACATACCATGTTGCACACGACCTCCAGCCAATGCAAACTGATGGCTGGGTGTCTGCAATAGCTCAGGCAATCTGCATTATAGTACAAGTAGAATCTGAGCTCTACTAATTAACAGTTAGATTATGAGCTTGAGATTTCTATGAGGTGATAGTTGATGGGGCCGGAAGCCGAATCAACTATCACCTCATAGAAATCGACAGCGAATAATCTAATTGTTTTAGTAGAATTCTTAACAAAATTTACTTCAAATAACGGTTTCCAATTATTTCTTGACGTATTATTAAACTTTGTGCCTGAAAAAGATCACTCGGATAGTTGAATTGTCATTTAAAATTGAGTTGTGCGCGTGCGCATCAGTTTTTTCAATAATTTCAACTTTTTTATAAGTCAAGAAACCGTAAATGTCCTTCGTTTCAGACTTCTCAGGAATTTAATTATCCATTTGCATCAAATTTTCCTCCAAAACTTTGGAAAAACGGAAAAAAACCTGGCCATTTCCTAGACGACCTCCAGCCACTGCACACTAATGGCTCATAGTGTTCAAAGGTTCAGCCAATCAGAATACAGCATTTGCACTAGTGTACGTGTAGAATTCTACTAATACTTGATAGAGGTGTTTCGTAAGCCTAGAATATCACATCTAAACTTTAAGTCAATCCCTGTGCAGAGAGCACAACCACCAACATCATCTGCATAAACACAATCTAGGCTATTACTAAAACATACAAGACGCTCACAGCAAGTGGACGACACTAATGTTTACGTATTTTTCATAGAATGAATTAATTATGTTATTGGAAAGTTGCAATACATGTACATCTCCCAATTCTCAGAATAATTTGTTATTTGTTAGGTATTTACATTGTTTCTTTTTGTGTTAGGTGAGCCCAAAATACGAAAGTACCAAGGGGACCCAGTCACTCTTAGAATAACACAGGGTAACAAAGTTACATTTCACTGTGATGTCGAGTCTGGACGTCCAAAGCCAGAAATCACTTGGTATTTTGGGTGGACAGATACACTGAAAA